GACCGGGCCGGGCCGGGCCGTGCGGCAGCCGCTCACCGCTGCTCCTCCCTCCCCTCTCGTCCCCTCCCCTCAGGAGACCCGAAGCAGGACCTGGCCTACGAGCGGCAGTACGAGCAGCAGACCTACCAGGTGATCCCCGAGGTGATCAAGAACTTCATCCAGTATTTTCACAAGACGGTGTCGGACCTGATCGACCAGAAGGTGTACGAGCTCCAGGCCAGCCGCGTCTCCAGCGACGTTATTGACCAGAAGGTGTACGAGATCCAGGACATCTATGAAAACAGGTACAGAGCCGCCCTTCCCGCGGGGGTGGCTTCCGCCGCTGTGCAGACCGTGGTGAAAGCGCGCCCTGCTTCCGAAAGGAAAGGAGGACTTAGCTGGCTTGTTCCTGATACCCGTAAATGTAAAATTTCCACTTGCCAGAGTGATTGTAATTAAACTAAACTAGATCCTTGCTGTTCTGATTAGACAGGAAAGCTCTAAGATAGAGAGGCCCCTCAATAACACTACTTAGACAAACTTGACTTGCTGTTTTGAGAAGACAGGAAAGCTCTAAGATAGAGATGCTCCTAAATAGTGCTACCCCAGACAGCTCAGCCTTGGGAGGGCAGATGCACCAAGCTGCAGAGATAAAGAGGCACCAAGAGGGCAACAAGACTGGAGCAAAACAACCTGGAAGGAGACGGTAGGCGTAATCTTAGAACTGAGTTTGCGCAGAAACACAGATCAACCAGCGGACACTGTGATGAGGAGTATAAGCCTTCATCTTGAGACCCCCAAAGACCACCCGAGAATGCTAACAGACATGCGTGAAAGATATTAACATATGCTAATCAGTTCTTGGGAAAGTCATGAATATGCTAAGCATTTCTCAGAAATATAATGAATATTTATATTGTGATTGTATTTAACCTGAAATGACAGGGTGTTCGGCACGCACATTTGGAGCAGAGATGCCCCGTGTGCCCGGCGCCGTAATAAAGAATACCTGCTTAATAGTCTGCCGACTATTGAGTCTTCAATTCCGGCTTTTCACGGCATCATTCCCAACCTGAGCTTTCTCCAAAATACAGCTTGGGGTTTGGTTTGATCGCTGGGGAAAAGCCAAATATTTCCAGGCCATTAACCTAGCAGGAGTCTAAGTGAGCTGTGACCTGTCTGAAAGAAAATACCAGTCTTGTGCCTAACAGGTACAAAGGCAGCAAAAAGCGACCTCGGTAGTGCTAATTAGGCAGTCTGTGGAAGACTGGGAGGTGTAATTGTTGTGCCTGTTCCCTGCAGATACTCCCACTCCTGCGTGTAGTTATGCTACAGAATCACAGAATCACAGAATAGTAGGGGTTGGAAGGGACCTCTGTGGGTCATCTAGTCCAACTGCTGAAGCAGGGTCACCTACCTTACCATAAAGGGAGTGTGAAAGTAGCGTACACAACCATGCCGTACTTCAGGGGTGAATTAAAGACTTTCACTGCTTAGTTTGCCATTCTCATTCTTTGCTTCAACACTGGACTGACTAAAAAGGGATGGTGGTGTTCTGCTTTCATCAACTCCAAGGCCGCTGTGTTGCAGCCTCTAACTCCAGCAGTGTCATACTGAGAAATGGCTTATAATACCCCACGTGTGTCTGTGTTTCAGCTGGACAAAGCTGACAGAAAGGTTTTTTAAGAATACCCCGTGGCCGGAGGCCGAGGCCATTGCCCCTCAGGTTGGAAATGGTAAGTCTTTTACTTTCTTTTTGCTTGACAGAGAGAGAAGGAAGTAAATTACTTTTGCTACATGAGTGAGCAGGTGCACAGTGTTGCTACTGCCTGAGTCGGTCATCTTTGTTCACTTTGGCAGCTCCCACAGCAGATGCCTGGCAAGAAGTCAAACTTGAGCGAATTATCTTTTTGTGCCTCCCTTTATTACTGTGGCAGGAAGAGGAGCACCACTGGTGTATCCAAGAGATCTAGTTGCCTAGGCATTGTGGCTTGCTAACGTCCAGTTCTGTCATCTTTTCCAGATGCTGTTTTCCTCATCCTGTACAAGGAGCTGTATTACAGGCACATCTACGCCAAAGTCAGCGTGAGTGTGTGTCTTGTGTCTTCCTGTGGTTGCATGCTGGCTTCTCTGTGCCGTAAAACTTGCCAAATCTTGCTGCCATTACAGTATCAGTGGTTCCATGATTTTTGTGAGACAGGATTGTATGGGTTTGTGAGCTGTAAGTCAAGTTGCTTTTAGGGAAGCTTAAAATTCTTGCCTTTTGCTAGCTAAGTAAGGATTCACTGATTGCTGAAAGCAAGAAAGACTTGATTGTCTTTCTGAGGCACATTAGGTCTCTCCTCCAGCTTGGTTGTAATGAGTGTGCAGGTTTCCCTGGTGGCTTATATGAATCAGAAGACCTGGCCTGAGTTTTCAGGAGGCAATTATGCAAACATTTGTTACTGACATCAAATGTAGTGGTTAGTGGGTTGGGGAAGAGGCAGATGGTGGGGGGTAATTGAATTTTCTTTTTGATAGAGCTGTAATTGCGAGACCTGTAGATCAGCTGGTTTGCGTGTTTCTTTGTGGCTCTTTGTTCTTCAGATTAGCAGATGGGTGAGAGGGGTTGTTGCAAGAGGAAGGTGCATTATTTGTCACTGAAAACACCACATGTGGTCAGAGTGCCTTGTGGAGAGGGAAACATGGGCACCATAAAGGATACAGGGGAAGGAAATGAAAGGAATAACACTCTGTAAAATAAAACAAGCTCTACTTTTTTTTCTTAAACTAATTTGAAGTCAGTGAGAAAATCATAGTAATTCTTGGTTCTTTAAGGAAAGAAGCTGAACAGAGGCATGACTTACAGGGTAAATGAGTAATAACTGCAGTTTTGGTGTGGACCACAGGGTGGAGAAATGGGCACTTTGAAAAGGCTGCTGCATTAACCCAATCAGGCTTTAACAGAAGAGACCGGCTTCCCAAGCTGTGCTGTTAGTGGTTCTGACTGCCCTCGAGCGAGCGTCTCCAGGTGAAACAAGGAAGATGATTCTCAGAAGAGAGTGACTCCCTACTGTGTTTACTGGTCTTTCAGGATGTTTAGAAATACTGTCCAGAAGCAGAATTATTGATTTATTAAGGCCATAAGGGGAGAAGGAAGGAAAGCTGTTGAAGGTAATGGGAAGCTCTGAAGTCTGGACAGCAGAGAGGAGGACAGGGAAGGTTAATGCGTCCTGTTCGCAGAAGGTTTGAATGCTCACTTGTCCTGGGGGAAGCTACCTGTACGTGAAAAGTATTCTGTTCTGTGGGACAATAGCGATACAATGTCAGGTTTTCTGGGTGGTGCTGGTGGGTGTCCTGGTGGAATATTGGCTCTAATATTTTTGAATTAGACCCTCTTCTGCTCTGACTATTCACTGTCCTTCATACGCTGTTGCCCGTAGACTCCATCCTGCCGTGCGTGCAGCTAAGCAGACTGTGCTGACTTCTCATTGCAGGGGGGGCCCACGCTGGAGCAGAGGTTTGAATCCTATTACAACTACTGCAATCTCTTCAACTACATCCTCAGTGAGTTGCTGCAATTCATTTCTGGTTTGTGAATTTTGGAGAGGAGGAGTGGAAGGATGGGACAGAAAGGGTACTGGAGAAAGGGTCAAAACAACTGGAACATGTTTGTTCCTGGATCATGCAGGGAGAAGTAGTCTATGAGCTTTCCATCTGTTTCAGTTTGTTGAATGAAGAGCACTTTATGTCCATGCATTTGAAACCACAAATAACACAAAGTTTCCAGTACTTTCTGAAATACTGTAAAGAATAAAACTTATTTAGCTGTCTGTCTTGCTGACAACTGCTTCACCTGTCTTTATTGAAAACAAAATGAAGCTGTAAGCTAGAGAAAACTTGCAGTGTTTCACAACTGCGTGCTGTTGTTGACTCCCCTTGGAACAAATTTTAGTGTTTATGACTCCTGCCAGACTTCTTGCAGAGAATAGATCAGCCAGGATAAACCCCTGCAGTCTGTGTGCAGCTTCTGAGAGACGCTGCTGCTGAGCAGTCATGCGCTAGAGATTAACCCCCTGCATGCTTGTATTCTTTAAAAGTGAAGGCAGCTGATGTAGCCAAAGCTAGGTGTTACTGCCTCACTGGAGGCTTCATTTGTCTGCTGCTGCATCTCCTATTTCAGGGAAATTCTTGTGTTCTTTAGTTTAGTCTATTCCTCCAGTTCTGCCACTGTTCCTGCACAAGGTGTTAAGCCTCTCATCTATTACTTACGTTGTTCTGCAGATGCTGATGGCCCTGCTCCTCTGGAACTGCCCAACCAGTGGCTCTGGGATATCATAGATGAATTCATATACCAGGTATATAAGACTGGGCCATTTCGGGGTGGCCTTGCCTCTGTTAGTTCTGTGAATTTTCCATCTCCTCCCTCTCTGTGATTTTCATAGCTAGGATGCCATTACAGGTCCAAAAACTTTGGTGTGACCACGGGTATTCCTGGGTCAGGACTTCATCTGCCTGTTCAGGTAGATGATGATGTTGATGAAGACCCATCATTCCTGCATCAGGAATAACAGTTAGATGAAGTAGTTTTACCAATTTTTAAGTTACAGGATGCTCTTTAGGGACTTCTGTTGACATTTCTGTTTCAGTTGCTGCTTAGGGGATTTCTTCTTTTTTTTTCAGCTTGCGTTCGTTTCTGTCTGATTTGTGCAAAGCAGCCTGACTGGAGTCTGCTGTAACCACAAAGACCTGGTGAAGATACTTGTTCAAACTAGTTTTATTGTGTTCTGTAGTTTTGCTTCAGTTTTGTATTTCTTAGTCAGTAAGGCCTTTATGCTTGCACTGAGAGATTGCTGACCTGATTTGAAATAACCTAAGGTCTAAGATCTTGACGTTCGGAAATATTTTTCTACTTACTCTACTGAGCGCAGCAATACAGATCTCGAATGCTCTTGGTTTTTCTCTATAGATATCTTTCTCTGTGACTTTTTATTATACAGCTGCTTGGAATTCCTAAAGTGCAGTCTTGTCAAGCTTGAGGGTGAAAAAGGATGTGTGCATATATAGAAAAAGATGTGTGTGTATGCAGACACACCAAATGACTCGGTCATTCTCTTTGCTGCCTGTTCAGACAGCATTTGTACTTAGTCACCTGTCCTAATTGCCTAAGAGATCCTTCTTTGCTTTGTTCTGTCTTCTCACCTTTCCCCTCTGCACTGTGTAATTTTTTCACAAGGTGCTTTAAATGTGGTATAGTTTGCCATTTTGTTTGCCAGGTGATCTCAGATGAAACTCTTTTTTTCATGTGACTAGTAGGTTACTGTAATGCATTTGTGTGATCACCTTGTAAGCTTAGTGCACTTAGCTGAACATCTCCAAACTAGCTTCTCATCATCAAGTCTCTGCTTTTTCCTGTAGTTCCAGTCTTTCAGCCAGTACCGCTGCAAGACCGCCAAGAAGTCTGAAGAGGAAATAGATTTCCTGCGTTCCAACCCCAAGATCTGGAACGTCCACAGTGTCCTTAATGTGCTGCACTCTCTGGTGGACAAATCCAACATCAACCGACAGCTGGAGGTCTATACAAGTGGAGGTGAGCTGGCTGGGTGATGCCAAGCAAGACTGGTGTCTGTGCTGCCTTGCTTTGGTTTGACCAAGCTCGTTTAGCTTTGGGAGCTGGATCAGACCCTCAGTCAGTGGATGGATCGACTGGGAACAGGTTCTGTTGGCCTTACGTGAGCAGTGCTGGGGGTTACACTTGACGTGTTGCTCCCTTTGCTTGTAAACCTAGCGGTGTTGAAAGGGGAGCTTGCTTCTGTGGAGGAAAGCGTCATGGTGCCTTTTTTTCCTAGGTGACCCTGAAAGCGTTGCTGGTGAATATGGTCGCCACTCCCTCTACAAGATGCTGGGCTATTTCAGCCTGGTTGGGCTACTGCGTCTGCACTCTCTGCTCGGGGATTACTACCAAGCAATCAAGGTTCTGGAGAACATCGAGCTCAACAAGAAGGTAATACAACATGTTTTAAACCCTCTGTTGCAGTTTTCCAGATGCCCCTGTTCAAACATACTGGTGAAAGATTGCCATAAGAAATCTTCCAGCTGAGGAGCTGTTTGCAGTTGTTGTAGCTGTCAGGAGTTTGTAGTTGAACACAGCTGGAGCTTGGGTGTTAAATCAAGCCGAATGATGCCTGATGCTGTTGCAGCACAAATGCCTAGTTTTTAAGGTTTGCTGTGTGGTGCAAGGCAGCGTTGTTACAGGAAGTATTATTGCAACTGAAGCGGTAGCACAGCGGTAGGTAGCTGGACACATCGTTCCCACCTTGGTCAATAGCTCGTTCTTTTTGACTCATTCTCACTGTGCCCACTCCCACCTTGCATGTTTTTGCCCTACAGCTGGGTCCTGCTTGTGGTAACAATGGCTAACAAAAGTCCAGCTGCAGCATGGGCTTGTCCCAAGGCTTGGCACAGATCTATGTATGTGCTGTCTGGCACAGGAGGTGGAGTGAAATAGGGGGAAAGGGAACCGGGCAAAGCAATATTAGGCACGGTGCAAGAGTCCTCTGCTTGCAGGAAGCTGCAACCGGAAAACATAAGAAATGGGACGAGCTAATAAATAGTGAGGAAGCTGCTGCAGGGATGAGTGGGAGGTGAGGTATCCTGAATTAACCCTCTTCTTTCTGTATTTGGGGTGGGAGTTAGAGCGGAGGTGGCTGGATTCTGGGTAATGAGCTGTTTGGATCAAAGTTGGTTACTGCCCCCCGAACGCAGCGTGTTGATCCTTCCTTCTCAGAGCATGTACTCCCGGGTGCCTGAGTGCCAGGTGACCACCTATTACTACGTGGGCTTCGCATACCTTATGATGCGGCGTTACCAGGATGCCATCCGTGTCTTTGCCAACATCCTCCTCTACATCCAGAGGACCAAGAGCATGTTTCAAAGGACGACCTACAAGTACGAGATGGTAAGAGGTAGAATAGGTGTAGACTTCACAAAAGAAAAAGCTGCTGTCTTCTCTCCTGCCCCGCCGCTGTCACCTGATAACCTACATCTGATAGTCCAGCCGTGTTTTCCTGGACTGTGCTGGTGGTGATGGCTGGAGATCCTTTGAACTGCTTTGCTGTGTGTGGCAGTATTTTCTCTGAGCCGTGTTAGTGGTGCCTTTGGTTGTTCACCACACGGTTGCTCCAGCTCCATCTGCTCTCTCCCTCTAGGCAGTGTTGTTAATGAATATTGGCTGCTAATGATATTCTTGTCGATGCTTCTTCAAACTCAGTCCTGTTCCTAGTCCAGTCTTGCATTTCAGGTTACTGCCATTGTTGGATGTATTTCCATTATCAGATAATCATTCACAGGCTGTTTTAATTGTGATTGAAACAAAGCTCCTTTCTCTTTCCACCTAAGCTGTCTCTGGTGCCTGTTTTACCCCCGCTGCTGCTGTCTCTTTTTCATCCGTATGATTCATTTCTCACTCTTTGCATAGCCAAATCCTGCCGTTCTTCACTCCGTGACACTTCACAAATTTGGTATGTCTGTTTCAGGCACACAGCTGTCTGTTTCATCCCACACTAGGATAAATCTTCCTTCTCAGTCTTTTCTTTACTGGCCTCCCTGATAACTGTCCCTTGCCAAGAGATGGTGGTTAAACAATCTGCCTTCCCTTCTCCTCTGCGCTTTTTTTGTTCCAAAGCAGTCAAACCTGCGTCTGGCCATCCACGTTCTGTATGGCTCTGGATACATTCGCTCTCTACTTTCCTCTTGTCCAGCCCTCTTTTTCATTGTTGAGAGCCTTGATACGACATTCATCTTACCTGCTTTGCCCAGAGGCACTGCTTCTTTGCGCTGTCTCCCTTGAGCATTAGGACCATTGGAGCTCTGGGTAAAGGGTCTGTCTCTGAAAAACACAGCTCCCAGCTCCCTCTGGCACTGTAAAGCCTGAGCACGTTGCCAGGCTAACAGGTTCTCCTCTCTGTCTCAGATTAACAAGCAGAACGAGCAGATGCACGCACTCCTGGCCATCGCCCTCACCATGTACCCCATGCGCATAGATGAGAGCATCCACCTGCAGCTGCGAGAGAAATACGGGGATAAGATGCTGCGCATGCAGAAGGGCGACGCACAAGTTTACGAGGAGCTCTTCAGTTACGCTTGCCCCAAGTTCCTCTCCCCTGTAGTGCCCAATTACGACAACGTGCACCCCAACTACCACAAGGAGCCCTTCCTGCAGCAGCTCAAGGTCTTTGCTGAAGTGAGAGCATCCACCTGCAGCTGCGAGAGAAATACGGGGATAAGATGCTGCGCATGCAGAAGGGCGACGCACAAGTTTACGAGGAGCTCTTCAGTTACGCTTGCCCCAAGTTCCTCTCCCCTGTAGTGCCCAATTACGACAACGTGCACCCCAACTACCACAAGGAGCCCTTCCTGCAGCAGCTCAAGGTCTTTGCTGAAGAGGTTCCTCAAGCTCTACACCACCATGCCCGTGGCGAAGCTGGCCGGCTTCCTAGACCTCACGGAGCAGGAGTTTCGTATCCAGCTGCTCGTCTTCAAGCATAAGATGAAGAACCTGGTATGGACAAGTGGCATCTCTGCCCTGGATGGGGAGTTCCAATCTGCATCTGAAGTCGACTTCTATATTGACAAGGTTGGTATCTGGCCCTTGCTGGCTGGGAAATTCCTTCGGGCAGGAAATACTGGAAGTGGCAGCACCTAGTTCTGCTGCAGTCTGTGGGAAACATCCCTTCCTTTTTGCCATGTGAAGGGCTTGGCTGCTGACGGTGAAGTCGTGGCCCTGCTTAATAGGAGTGTCAGTGGGTGAACAGTAATGGGATGTCACAGGCAGCTTTGACAGTCGCTGCACCCAGAAGACAAAGGTCCTGAATGTCTTCCCCAGGCCAGAGGGTACTGTTTGTCTTTCAGTGTTCTCGGGAGGTGACAGCTGGGTGACAAATAGTGCTGTCAGTGTGTCAGGTGGGATTGTCAGCTATGTAGGTCTCCCCCACATTTCTCCTTTGCTTGACAAAGCAGGGATCTTGCTTGGTCATGTTACAGGTCCCATTTTTCACTGGAGCAGTATTTAGCTCTGTCTGCTGTAGGAGGAGTGTAAACACAAGGTGTGGTCCTGTAACCATCCTACCCTTGGAGCTCCGGGCAGCAGGAAGCATAGCAAAGAGTCTTTAGGACTTCATTTTCAAAGAGAATAGCAATAACCATTAGGTTTCTTGCTAGCAAGGAGAGCAAGTTGCCCCTTGTTCTTGGTCCTTAGAGCAGACCTTTTCCTGCAAAGTCTCATGCTATGTCCCAGCATAGCTCTGCTGATAGATAGCAGGACTCTTAGCTGCTTCTGGAGGGAAGCAGAGCATGAGTCACGGTTGGGAGTGCCAAACGGCTGCAAAGAGAGACAGCAATAGGTAGCGTGTGCAAGAATGTGGGAAGTGAATACAGTGTGAATTTGGGACTCATCCCAGGCAAAGGTGCCAGGGAAGGCACCCCACAGAGAGCTGAATGGTTGCAGTGGGATGAGCACAGGTCGGGTATATGTGATGCTGAACAAGGGCCGGAGCGAAGCTGCTTTGGTGGCTCCTCATGTTTGGCAAGGCTTGTGGTCTCCCTGCTAGCTCAGTCCTTTTCCTGACCTCACGCTGTTCCTTCCCCAGGACATGATCCATATTGCGGACACAAAGGTTGCTCGACGCTATGGGGACTTCTTCATCCGGCAGATCCACAAGTTTGAGGAGGTGAGGCCTGGGCAGGAGAGCTGTGTAGCTCTGTAGGAAAAGTGGGGCAAACATTGGGTTGCGCAGGCCCTGGAGGAGGCCTGTCCTTGTGCAAGACAGCTGTGCAATGCCTTGCAGGGGTGAGCCCTGGCTGTGCGAGGCACTGGGCAAAGGCAGGTGGTTGAAGCAGCAGCTGCTAGCCTTTGAAGAATGGCCTGTTTTTGTGTGAGAACTGCTCATTTGGGCCACTGTGGAAGAGGAGGAGGGTTTTACTGGGCAAGGGCACTGACTCCGTTGTCCCTAGACAACTGGAGTGTTCCCATCAGTTCCTAGCCAACCAAAATCATGTCTCTACCCTCATAACTATGGCTCTAGAAAGTGGCCCCAAAGATCTCTGGAGTACAGATGACTTCAGCATTGTGCTCAGGCAGGAGCTGACGTTCTCCCACTGCTTCACTTTCCTGACAGAGGCAGCTGCAAACTGGAAACTTAGGCAGCAAGATCCTGAGATGTCTTGAGCAACCCAGGGTTGTGATACCACTGCTAGAAGTTTGCACCCTCTCTTCTCCCTTTCTCTACTGTCTTGGACGGGAGGCGGGAGTTTAACTAGTTACCCTACTTACTGCCTGCACTTGCATGAGAGCTCTTCGTGTCAGCAAATTGGAGAGGAAGGAGTACATAAAGGCTGCTGAGGGGAACAGTAGTGTTTGTCAATCACTGTGTATTTTTCTGACCTTTGCCTTCTCTAATTCCAGCTGAATCGAACCCTGAAGAAGATGGGCCAGAGACCCTAAAACCTCTCTGGATGCAGTGATCAGCCTGAGCAGAAGAGTGGATGGGAGAGATTATTTTCTCAGTGGCAAGGGAAGGGAGCTTAGGGTTCTGGCATTTCTGGAATCTCTTGTGACTCTGAAGGGTGTTTTGTACTTAAATAAGCAGACTCATTTGGTTCAGACTATCCTACAAAGGACAAGACATCTAATAAATTAGTGGAATTTTCCCAGTGAGCATTCAGTATCTGATGTACTCATTTATTTTTCCTCCGTGGAAGAATATGACTACATCTGGAGGCATGGGCAGCTGCTGTTGTTTTGTGCTCTCTTTGGTCCGTGCTGTTGCAGGTTAACAGTGGGGAGCAGATCTCTTTCCATGCTCGGCACGGGCACTGCACACAGCAAACAGGGAAGGCTGCGGAACTGATTAACAGGGAGAAAATGAGCTGTTGCACAGTGTTTCCGCAGGGTAAGGAAAGAGATACAAGCTAATATTGCTCCTTTTAGCTCTCACCCCACACATTGAATAAACCGGAGTTTTGCCTTTCACCGCTTTTTTTTTTTTTTTAGTTGCAATGAAGTAGAAATGTGCCGAAGTAGAAATGTGCCAAAGTGGATTGACATGTTTTTAAAGGAAGAGGGAGGACATTTGTAAACATTCAGCCAATATTAACTTTGGTCATCTGATGAGATGTCCTTGCTGGAGGTTGTGTTTTATTTCAGCACCAGTGATGCATGAGTCCTGGCCCTTAAATTAATGGAGTTCAGTTTCTCCAGAAAACTCCCTGAGGGTGTTTAATTTATTAAAACCCTTTAAATGATAATTTTCCTGGCTCGCCAGCCACTTTGTATCCTTCAAGGCAAACTTTAAAGAGTTGGAGAAGAGAAAAATGGGTTGAAAACTAGCCCTATAAAGGGGTACCAAGGACCTGTAAATATTGGGGAAGAGAATGCGAAGAATGAATCGCATCTTGTCTGCCTTCCACACCCTCTCTCCCCTCTCCTGCTGCTGTCTTTAAATAGTTTGAGTGGTAGAAACAGGTGCAAGAGAAAAACCTGCGTGTGTGATAGAAAAGCTGCCCAAGGCGTGCTGCGTGTATCCCACCTGCCCCCCTCTACCTCTCCCTTGCATTCCTTTCTACCGAGAGAGGGGTCCTGGCAGTCTGGCTTGGCTTCATGTGCGATTCTGCTGAGAATAATTAGCCTTTGTTGGATTGTACACCATGTTTGAATGAGGGTCGGGTTTCTAGTGTGCTAGATACTGCTCGAAAGTAAACTGCGTTTCCCATCACAAAGTCATGTAGCTCGGGCGGGCAGGGTGAGGTTGAGCAGGCAACTCCTGCTGGCCTGCTAGCTGCTGCTGCTGTTACACCTCCAGTTCTGAAGGGTTTGAGGCAGCCATATTGTTAAGAAATCAAAGGGCTAAGATGCCACTGCATTGCAGCAGCTCACGGGAGCTGGGTTCATACCAAGAGAATCTGCTCCTTTTTATTTTTAGAGCTGGCGCTTTTGCTTGTGTGTGTTTACAAACAGCAGCACAGTGAGCGTAGCTGTCAGCAGCAACTCTTGTCCTACTTTCTTGTGATCCAAAGCCTGGATCTTTCACAGAACAAGTGCTGAGACAGATGTGATATACGACAGGAGAACCTCTGGCAGGGCATTATCTCCACAATCAGTTGTAGTTCATAGCATAGCAAAGGAACCCAGTGCGTTACTGGGATTTGGTCTGGTTTCAGACAGTGATTGGCATGTTGGAATTACAGGCTTTTAATGCATATATGTATCATCTTAAACAATCCAGCAGTTATAGGCTGTTCTCAGAAAAGTGAATATTCTGCTGCTTGTGTTTGTGTCTGCCAGAGCGGCTTCCAGAGGATGCGCAGAGACCATCTGCCGGTCTGCCTGGCTCCAGCCTTGCCAGAGGGACCGCTCGCTGAAGGTTAACTGAGCGGGGCTGGCCCTTGGTGGAACGAAGCCAGCGAGAGCTCGCAGCTCTCTCGCAGGGCGGAAAGATGGGCTCAGCGAGCCGCGGTGCCTGGCACTGCTTGAAGCCGGAGGAGCGCAGGGCGTTCGGCAGCATCAGCAGAGCCCCGCTGCTGCTGGAAAGGAGCGCTGCGGGGAGGCGGTCTGGGTTTGGCAGAGCTCGAGCCTTGCCTGCCGCAGCAGAGTTTGGTTAGTGGAAGTGTTCTCAGGCACTTTCTGGTCAAAATGGTGTTACCAGAGGGAACCACAGCACAGGGCTATCTACTCTATGTCCCTGACCTGCAATAATGAAGGGAGCGAGTGTGATTATGGACGCTGGAAAAGGCAGTTACGAAAACATCCCTAATCCTGCTCTCCCTTAGGATACATCAGAAAGACGCTGTCAGGCAGGTCTGGGGGATCCTGAGCAGCCAGCTCGGTCGTTTCAAAACCAAGACAATGCTTCATTTCCTTTTTCTATACGTAGTAGCTTTTCCATGGATTTACACCACAGCTTATCTCCGGCACTGAGGCGGGGAGCTGCACAAGCTGTTCATGGGGAATTTGGTTTTCACTTGTTACAGCTCTGGGGCCATGGAGCGATAGAACGAAACAGTGGAATAGAAGAACGAGGGTGCTAAGCATAAGATCTGACTGGAGAAAGGGATATAGAGCCCATAAAAAAAGAAAATTGAAAGAGGGAACTCCTACTGATAGGAATAAGCTCAATGTCTGTGTGATGGATGGGTCTTCCACAGAGGTAGCTATTGCCCCGTGCTTTGCCTAATTGGAAATGAAGAGAATGCTTAGCGAAATCAACTAGCACTTAATAGTGTGCTTTCCCCCCCTCCCTTGTCAGACCATCACACCAAGCACACAGGCCAGCTCTCGTGACAATTCATCTCCTCGCTGTCGTGGGTTCCTGAGATTGTATCGCACCCTTCCTCCGCTTCTTCCAGGGCTTCCTGCGAAGCGCTGCCTGCAGCTCCGAATGTCCCAATCCCCAGAGCCCTCCTTGGCCATGTGCCCACCCCAGGAGACACCCACCTCCCCCACGGCCTCCACCATCTGGCATTGCCTTGCCCTCCGCCACAGCCGCTTCTGCCCCCTGGGCTGC